AGATAATATTATTTGTTAGTTATGTAATAAAATCTATAGTATAGATGTACACAAATTACCTTTATTTAAGTGTCGAAGTGACTTAATCTTAAGTGCAATAGAAGGATGATTCTTGCTTTCCTTAAAGATGGTATTTAAATGTGCTTTCAGAAATGATATCCTTCGTGCTTGCATGATAGTGGCTATTATGTAAAGAAATGTTAACAGCATACTTTTTTCATAAAAATAGCTGATATTGTTTAAAATACTTGCTAGTTTACTTTTGAATGGAAATTCCTGCCACAGATTTTAGATCTGAAAAATAAAATGTTTCCTATAGAAAAACATATAAGGTATAAACATACTTCGAGAAAATTTTGTCTCAAATGATCCCATAATAAAAATATATATTTCTTGAAATACAAAATTTAAGAAAAATCATACAAAGAGAAAATAAGTAGCCTCCAATCTAAATAAATATTAAAATCAATCTACAATTGTGCCTAAAATCACACATGTAGATGCACAAATATATTTATGAATATACTTATATATAACAAATATTGAATACACAAAATTTAATATTTCTAAAGTAATGGCATTGCAGAGTAAAGTGTGTTGTAAAGAACATATCATTATAATCACAGACTTTTATAAGTCTTTAGAAACATGTTGCCTTACACTCAAAGATTTCATAAAAATTAGCACGTACGTAGAGATGATAATCCTGATCAATTTCTGTTTTTTAACCGTACATACGAGCGACATGAAAAGCTACTTGGCAAATACTAAAACACGTTATTAAAACGAATGTAATTGCAAATTTAAATTGGTGGAATATCCATACGCACCATAATCGTGAACCATCGCTTTTCGCTTACAATGGGATTAAAGTAGAGCGCAGAATCAGTAACCCCAGGTAGCCCATTCTCGAAAATATCGATAGTTACTGTGGCATTCCTAAAGACAGCTAGGAATGTACTAGACTAGACATGACTGGACAAAATGCTCTGGACGTTCGGCAGAACAGAGCGCTATGTTATCGCTCTGAAATTAATTTATCAGATGCAACAATTACGTTATATGCTGAATTGCATAATCGTCATATCTATCGATAGCAATCAACAAATGCTGTACAGCAAAAATAAACATGTCACGTAATTAGTTACAAAATAAAAAAAATTTTGGATTTAAAATGTTATCTATTCGATAGCCAACTGCACATACACAAGTCTATTCATAACGTAATAATATATATATATTTTTATATTTATCTATTAATCTATTCATATATTTGATAGCACGTGTTGATCGTTAGATTTATTCGTTGTACTTTGCAACACTGTCCCATTCACATATTCGAATGAGATGGATATATATTCTCCCAGAGAGAAGGTTTCTCTATTATTCTGTAACCTTGAAGGAAGAAAAAGAGACAATCTCGAGTGTAAAAAGTGCAAGTGAATTGAGTGTACGACTTACGAGTGTAGTGTCAAGTATCATATGGTACTGTTTACCTGATTGTTTTTTTTTTTATGTCTGCACTTGCAGGCATAGTACGATGGCCTACAAAAGTCTTTGCGTGAATATCATTAAAGAAAGTCGAATACTAGATAGATATTTAAAAACTGCTGTAACTACACGTGGTTATTCGAAAACAGCAACATCTTCAGAAGATGACAGATCAACACATTTTGGTTTCCAAACGATTAAGGAGAGTCAGAAGGCACGGGAAGGTGAAAATTTTATTATTTTTGTCGAATGTTTGTCTCTTTTTATTGTATGGAATATTAATAGTTGCCACAATGAGTCAGACAATATTAATAGCAACAGTTATAACTTCTTGAGAACTACTACATTATATATATACATTGTATATATTTGTATATATTTTATAATTATAATTTTATTTTATAATTTTATAATTATTGTAGCTTCTTGAATTGGATGTGCAGTGTCAAAGTTGATTCGAAAATATTTCTTGCAGTATATACCGTGTTTGAAAATGTTGCCAATTCTTACGACATGATGAATGATGCAATGAGTATGGGTATTCACCGCATCTGGAAAGATATTTTTGTACAGGAATTAGGACCCACTCATGGTACTCATCTTTTGGATTCTGCTGGTGGCACAGGCGATATTACATTTCGGTATATTAATTTTCTGAGAAATACGCCAAATCCGCATAATGTACATAGTCATGTAACTGTATGTGACATAAATCAACATATGTTAGATGTCGGACAAAACCGAGCAAGTAGGCTAGATTTATCAGGGGATAGTAATTATGATATTATGTGGAAGCAAGAAGATGCAGAGAAGCTTTCCTTTGCAAATAATTCTTTCTCTGCCTATACCATAGCGTTTGGAGTAAGGAATGTAACACATATTGATAAGGTACAATATTGATTTATTACTTAATCAATTATAAGGTCTGTTTTCTGTGGCTGAACTAGTATACATTTTTGTAACTTAAAATGAAATAAGTATATGTTTGATATTTGTCAAAAGCGAGAAAGAGATTGTTCTAGTGTAGTCTAATGCAGGAACAGAAAACAAATCTTATTTTTTTAAAATACTGAAATATATTGAAAGTACGTTATACAGAATTTACATTTATTAATCTCTACTTATTACACATTTAATACTTATTATGTATTTTAAACTAAAAATTATAAGTATATCTGAATATTAAATTTATATTAAATATAATTAATTGAATTTATTTGTTAATTTTTATTTCACAGGTATTGTCTGAGGCATACAGAGTATTACAGCCAGGAGGAAGATTTTTATGCCTAGAATTTAGTCACATTGATAATAAGCCTTTACAATGGTATATATTCTAAAACAATAGAAAACTTATAAAAAGATGATATACATGTAACTTGTAGCAAAATTTCATTTACTATCTGTTTTAGGTTGTACGATCAATATTCCTTTCAAATAATACCTGTAATGGGAGAACTGATTGTGGGGCAGTGGAAAGCTTATCAATATCTTGTAGAAAGCATAAGAAGATTTCCAAAACAAGAAGATTTCAAGGTAAAAAATGCATTTTTTATATATTTATTTAATTATTTTTTATACATAAACTGCAATAATGATATTAAGGTTTTTTTTTTTGGAAACTTCCCTTGATATTGTCACCGACGATACTACATATTAAAGACCGACGTCTTTACAGGAGTTGACGTCCTTGTGAATATAGAAGTAATTAAGAGTTAAAAACTGAAAATATTATACTAATTTTATGATTTATTAGTTTAGTGGACATATTTATGCTATTTTAGAACTCAATAATACTCGATTTTTCTTTAAAAAAATTATAATTTCAGTGCTATCATCAAAGTTTGATTATCAACAGAGATGATAACTGCAGAGAAAAAAATTGTAATTTTTCTGCAATATATAGAATATTATAGCTTTACAAGCATATTTATTTATGGAACATTTATTTAATAAAAAATTATGAATTTAATAATGTATGAACCAAATATTTATGTTAATAATAGCAAATTTATATCAATTGTCGATAATGTCAGCGTTCTTCAATTATCTCCGGGCCCTTGGGGCCTTTTTTATATCGCCGAAAATTTGGGGGGTTTTTAATAGTATCTCATCGGTGAGATATTATTGTTCTTTATTACAATTCTATGCTCACACACACACACACACACACACACACACACACATGCGTGCGCGCATACACACGCACACATGCACATTAAGCTTCCTTTTTATTATGCTATGTTTTTCCGATTTTTAGTTATATTTGCTCTTCATGTTCTTTGTTATATTTTCAGAATATGATTGAATTCGCAGGATTCAGAAATGTGACCTATCAAAATCTAACGTTTGGTATGGTTGCTATTCATTCAGGATTTAAATTATAAGTAAAATATCTTGGAGCATAGAACTGATTATTTTTTTGAGGAACGAGGAAATTTACAATTATAATACAACATTGCCAAACAACAGTTACAGTAATATCAAAGAAAATGTATGTACAAAAATTTACATATTTCTCTTTAGTTATTTATTACTTTTTATTAATTAACATTTATTTCTTTCAGAAAAATTGTGTATTGTTTTTTGATTATATTAGTTACTCGTTATAAAAACTAAATTATGTATTGCATAAATATACAATTATTACATAATTATTACAATTTTATTGATTTACTATCATTTTGTTTGCAATATACGTACGATGTGTCTCGTCAATTTATTATACGACCATATTTCTATTACAACAACTACTTTCTACAATCGCATAAAATTTCTTTGTAGCATTTATTCGGTATCACAGAAATACTGGTTAAAAACCCATTTCTCTATGCTAGTACATTTCGGCCACCTATCCGAGTGTGAAATTTGCTTGCTTACTACGTAATCGCTTTACACCTGCAATCCACCGTATTGCGTAAGAGTCGTGCGACTCTTTGGTACCTCGAACATGAGGTGACGCGACTAACTGTGCCTATCGCGATTTACGTTACTACGCATTTCTACGCGGGTCGCTTCCGTAGATCATTTCGTAATTTGATGGACCCGAGGATACGAATAAGTACAAGAGAAAATTCTAAGAGACAGTTTAAACGCAATAAAAAATGATTTATTTTGACAATTTTGTAGACGGCTTATTATTCTTCTTTAATTAATATTGTTTATTTATTGTTCATTAGAAAAATTAATTTTTTTAGAGCTTATTTATATTTTCTTGTATCCGATTCAATCCTAGATAAAAATATCATTTGGATCAAAAATTTTTCAGATATAAATTATATTAATTAACTGACTTAATTAGAAATTATATTAGTATTATAAAAATGAATGACAATTATCTCTTCCACACGCACAATGAGCTACAATACATGTATATATTGAAATTTTAATTGGAGCACAAGAGAACTGCGGACTTTTTTCGAAGAGATAAAGATATAATCTCAAATTTGTACAATGCGTTGAGAACATCACAATTTTTGCACAGCTCGGAAACATAGAATAGGATTAATAGCAGGGTTGGGTAAGTTAACTTTCTTTTTTTTAACTAAATTAAGTTAAAGTTAACAGCCTTGAAAATTTAACTTAATTAAAATACAAGTTAATCTATAATAAAATTAATTTAATTAAAAGTTAAATTAATAAAAAATGTAATTAAAAAGTTAAAAGTTGAATTTGTTCGAACGAACAACACCAAAAAAAAAAAATAAAGAGTTTGACTATTTTACATAATTTTTCGTATTTTTCCTTTCTTACAGCTTATTTATTTAATCTGGTTATTTTTCTTCACAAATAATGATTGTACAATATAAAATTACTAAATTATATATTCATTCTCGCATTGTATCTAAGGATTGACTTAAAAAAAATCAAATTAAAAGTTAACAGTTACCGATAAAATGTAACTAAATTAAGTTAAAAAATTAAGAGTCTAAAATATAACGAAGTTAAGTTAAAATTAATTAACTTTTTAACTTAACTTTTATCTTTTTAACTTAGCACTACCCAATCTTGATTAATAGTGGTGAAAGAAGAGTAAGAGCATTTAAAAAAAATAATTTTTGTCACTCAAAATTCTTATTTAACTTCTGCTTACATTTGATCTAATTTATCTTTTGTTCTACGATCTTTATTTTTTTATTCTGTTCATCGCATTCTTGTTTTATATAATCCATTCAATTTGTACTCTGATCATCTTGTTTTTATTATAGAAAGATTATTATAGCAACAACTTTGCTTATCTTTACTTATTTTTATTAATCACATTTAATGTACTATTTAGATACAAATAATGCAATCTATCTTCATTCATAGTCGAGAAAAGAAGCCTTATATTTAAGATTATCTTAGTATAGTTCTAACTTTGGTAAAAAAATTAATAGAAAATGATAGAAAAATCCTATGTTCGAAATCTGGTTCGTGACTAATTTAATAATTTGAATTAAATCTTCTAGAAATCTTATATAAATCTCACAGAATTCGATAAAATTTGATAGGCTTCATATCCGATTAATAATA